TGGATTTTACTTTCTTGTTTATAACCTATGACAAAAAGTTGCTTAATAACTTTTCACGCTACAAATGGTTCAAGCTTATCAAGCTGATTGTTTTCAGAGGATGTCGGTCTTCTGGCTCACCCGAAAAACCCTGCTGTAGTAACAGGATACTTTTAAATATCTAAAATGCCCAACAAAATGATGTCTCGTCATGTTGAAAAAGTACAGATTGTGTCACCAATTAACATGTTTCGTAAAAACAAAATTTTTGTAGGTTTGAGAACGCTTCAGCTTGAAACAAATGTAAAAATAAAATGTAAAATGTAAAAGATTTTGCAAAAATTTTATGTGTTTTGGTCATTTGCTGAAGGACTTTTGATTCATTGATTCATGTAACGTATCTCTTACTCTAATAAACATCTGATTTTAACCGTGAGAGTTTACACAACAATTGATAATTCAAATCAAAGGATGTTTTGATAGTAAGTTTGTGCGAAGCTTTCGCAGGAAACGTATGATTTCTTGCAATGCTGCCGTCAGACCTTCTTAAAAGCATGGCCTAATTGCCAAAATTGACCACATTGATTAATCGACTATGCTTTCGCATGGGAAAGCAACGTTAACTTTAATGAGATCATTGTCTTGCTTTCAACATTAATTGATAACCGATATACATAATTAAAACATAAGAGGAATAAAATGTTGTTTGCGAATGAGACAGAACAGTAATTGCTTCGTATGAGGTTCTGTTTTTATGTGGGAAAATTTAGAATCCCGTTTTCAAATGTTAAAGTGAAAAAAATGCGGCGCAACTCTTGTGAAGTTCTAGGACAGGTACATATTCATGATTACATCTGTTATGGAGAAATAGAGGGAAGGGAACGTTTAGCCTAACCTGTTCAATAAAAAGCACGTACAGTTGCATGGCCTTAGGCAGGAGGAATTATGACGTCATAAACGGTGCATCACAAAATTGTGTGCAATTGTGATTTCTCATGTGGCTGCGACCCTATGTGCCCAACACTCTTATCAGTTTTCTACTGTCTCAGCTGCTAAAAGGGAAATGAAAAATTCTATGATTAAAGAATATCAATGTTTTTAAATAACCTCTATTTACATTTTTCACAAAGAAATAATAATTTGCTCCCTTCTTAATAGGACATTGAGTACAATTTTTTCTTTATAAATGCAGAAGCTATAAGAAAATCGAGGCCCGGTTTGAAAAGAAAGAAGAACAGCATAAGGACATGCCTAGTTTCATACAAAAATTAGAAGAAAAAATCGTTCAGAATTGTCAACACATCCTCTAAAAGTGAGGCATATACTTTTCAATATTTCTTCAAATGGAAATCCTTTTATAAAATGGTGTTCAAGTTTTCTATTTCTTTTAATCAGGGTTGAAGCGCGAATTATGATTCAATAATTTCTAATTATGGTACGATGTGCTGTGATTGAATTGCAAACTTTGTTAATCGTTCCATTTTGTAACAGTAACATACCTTGACGCTGCATACTGTGGATAGGGGTCAGTGGCGCAACGGAGGAATTTGGGGCCATAAGGAAAAACTGAGACAGGGTCGCAGCCACATGAGAAATCTTATTTACAGGCTGCAAGAAGGTCCCATCCAACGCTGTCAGTTATCAAACTAAGGCACTCTTAACTGTTTTACGCCCCTGGTAATGGTGAAGTGGCCATAAAAGGTCAAATACCCCTTTCTACGTCAATCATGCCCTTGTATGCCTACATCATATATCACTACATTGAGTTTCCTCAGACATGTTGTGGAACATTTTATCATTCCAATACCTATCTCTGCTATAATGCCACTAGAATACCAATATGAGGTATCATAGCTACAAACGTCAAATTCCCATGCGATATTCATTCCTAAAAGAACATGCTGTACATCTAAGATGCCATTTCTGTTTTTAAATTCACTACTTTAGATGAAATTTTTGTTCTTATGGCCTTATAGAAATTTTTAAAGATTTTGATTAGTTCCTTGGAGGTTTGAAATACTGTTGATACTAGTGAAAGGGTTTCGTTGAGAGGAAACATCTCTTCAATGCACACATAAAAATCATTAATCCTTTGTATACCGTATTGCTGCTAAAATCCTTTGTTGAGAAAGCTCTGCGAAAATACAGATATACAAATTGCCTCTTCCTTTTAACGAAAAGAGACAAATCTGTATCTATGAGACGAAACAATCTAAAAACCGCATTCTTAGTATGAAGCTCCTTCCTCAAGTGGTCTACGTATTCCTCAATTCCCATGACAATCAGAGTTCTACTAAAATAGATCCTTTCAGAACCACTTTATTTTATTTACTTAATGACAAATTTATTGATCATCTGGGTATTAGTTTTGTTTATATATAGTAATTTGTTTTATATTTGCTGTTAACTTTAAGTGCTGTGTGAAAACGGTAAACCTTGTATTTGTTTAATTTTCCACAACAAAGTGTATACTACTCATCAATCCAACCAGATTAAACTGCGATATTAAAATCCTTTTTGTTTATAAAGCCTTCTAATATGAGAGCATTTCCTTCCTGTATTAATTACCTTTTATGGAATAATGTAATATGATTGGCTCATCTGCATAATAGAGCGAATTCACTTAACGGTCTATAAAATGTCATAAACGCCACCTCACATTGCATTCGCAGAAGGAAAGTCGGCAGAGAAAGATGTCGTACCAACGAGTATATGGTGAGATATTTTTTGCTATATTTGGACGAGTTACATACTACTGTTTTTTTCAGGCAGTTCATTTGGTGTACTAGGAAATGAGAGTTGACCAGTTCATGATACTTTTCAAAAATAATCTGAGCAAACAAATAGGTTTATCTGTCACTTTTTCGTCACTCACAAAGTGGTCTTTTACAGCCTTGAGCTTGTTGTTATTCTTAAAAGAAAATAGAACAACAAGTTCTTCATGCTAAAATGCTAGCTTTTTCTTCATCATTTGGATTTCAATGGATGAAAAAATTCATGGTTATGATTGCGCTTTACAGTGCTAAGGTGTTGGGATTAAAAGCTCATCAACGTCATCCACCAATAACACATTGTGAGTGGACAAGCGCTAAAATATATATTTCGTGACCTCATGGTTTAGGCACTAAATTTAAAGAAAATAAAGATTTTCGTGAAGTCAAGACAATGCCAAAAAAATCTGAATGCTGGTCATTCTGAGATTAAATGCTCTAATCCTTAGACATTCTATGGTTACAGAGCAGTTTATTCGTATTTTGCACGAAAAACGTTTCAATTGCTGAAAGCAATTGCTCGTACAATTTCTCTAGGGATGTTGGTAGACCGAAATCTTTGTCAATGTATCCTTGAACTTACATAACACTTTTAGCGAATGTTGCAAAAACCTAAATATTTTCATTCGCACTTCACTTTAAAGTATCGATATTTTTACACGCACCAATATTGTCTTAGCTTTTATTTTAAACAATAATAAACACCCTTTTGTTTTCTTTTTTCCTGCTTGACTTTAAATATTTAAAATATTGAACATGACCATTCTTCTTCATCTTTATATGAATTAAAGTCTAGGTGTAAAATATATGGATTAAATGTCTACGTAAGAAAACGGAGCGTCATATATAACAAGAATACCAGAGACTTCAATAACTATAATGGGTAGACTATGATATTATTACGAAGAACTTCTCTAAGCTTTGCTTCTGTAACTTAGTTGTTGTAAGCATGGACTCCGACACAGGTTGGAAAGTGGGAGGGGGGCGATGAAAAATTTCACACCTATAACAAAAGATTTTGTGAAAAGTTCTATTGCTTCGCAGAAAATTGGGGGACCATGCCCCCGGTCTCCCCTTCGTTGGAGGCCCTGGTAAGATTATTAAGATCACTGCATTTAGGATTATGTAGAGGCCAAGATTATGCAGTTTTGTTAGTTTCATAAGTGTGATTAAATAGAGATACATGAATTGACTCTTTAAACTTTACTTTATCTTCTGCTCTTTTTTTGTCTTCCGTTGTCATGAATAAAGGTCCTAGAGCTCACCGGATTGCCTTAACCTCGGATTAACAAAATGTTTTATCTTTATTTTTATCTTTACCCTTTATGATCAAGGCTCGTTGAGCTTGGGCGGTCAAAGGCAGGTGCCAATTCTATTTAACAATCCGAGTAGCTCTGACTCTATCCTGTTTACATTTGCTGTAATCTGCAATAGAAAAACAAGCATTTGCAAGAAGACTTCCATTGTTCTTCAACCAAATGTTGCCATCTCCAGGTTTAATCGCCTTAACCAAGGGTCTTAATTGGCAGTTGCTTGCGCAAACCTTGTATTGTTATTTTCGTGAGAACGGCTTGAAGTTTGCACTTATAAATGAAAACAAATAATTAACTATATAATAGGTCTTAGATATAATGGCAATGAAATTACAAATATTGTTGGTTGTAGATAAGTTTTGATGTGATATAGATTTAACAGAAAAAGTTGTTCTTATCGTTTGATAACTACTAAATTTTCGTAGTGAATTATTAGTACAGACAGGATCATGTTGCTACCTAAATAAGATACATCTTTTGGTTGAATTAATTTTCTTTGAGAGATCAAGTGAGTCGACAAGATCTTTTTATTGTCATCAGTATTAAAGTCATCTTTATAGCGTTATCGTCGAAACGAGGCTAAATCTGAAATGAGGGTAATTGTAAAGCTGTGTCTGGTATACGATACACACGCAGGTTAGTGCTAGTTAGAGGCTAGAAGGAAGCTTGTCCTTTCCAACACCCAGCATCAAGAGGTCAGGTGGGCGTTTCCTCTCCTCGCTGCCTTTAGCCTCCCCAGACCAGAGTATTACATCCACAAACTATGCAATCCACTGCAGTGCAGACGCTCTAGCCACTTGATCACTCGAGTAGTACTTTAAGACATTTACAACACAAGCCAACGATATTGGTATGGGAATGGAAAGAGTGGAGTGTGTTTTTTTATTCTTTTGGTACCTAGATATAGCCAATCAACGGAATTTTCATTCTCCCCTAGATTCTTGTAACACATTTGCCTTGTGCAAGGTTTGTGGTGACCGTGCATCTGGAAGACATTATGGTGTTTTGACATGTGATGGATGTAGAGGATTCTTCAAACGAAGTGTGAGAAGAAACATTGAGTACGTCTGCAAATTCCAAGGCAAGTGCATCGTAGATCTGAAGAGAAGAAATCAATGCCAGTCATGCAGATACCAAAGATGCCTGCTTGTTGGGATGAACAGACACTGTAAGTTGAAGATCTCTTCATTTTCTTACATTAAATATCTTAGCAACATTGCTACCATAATTACCCAGATTGATGCCTCTTACTAATCCAAACTAGACCGTAAAAAGGTTTTGTCATAGTTTTTCAAGTTCCTTACAATCTGGTTTCATTATTTTCTTATGCAAAATTCTTACATTTATCTTATTTTCAACAGCAGTTCAACATGAAAGACTGCCCCGAAAGCAGAAATTCTTCCATTCTGATGACAGCACTCACGAGGAGCCTCTTAAGAAGAAACATTCTATGTCCAGCCCAAGTGACGTCAGCATTGATTACCGCATTATACCAAATCCAGGCCTTGTACCAAGCAAGTGTGGCCCTGTTCTCCCTATTTCTCGCTTTTTCCAAACACCATCGATAGAGTTTCCAAAAGAAAACCATCCACCAGTATCTCTTCCAAAGAAACACAGTTATTCAATAGAATCATTGCTAGATATAGCCAAGAAAGACAAAACAACGCGATACTATGAATCGTCCGTGAGCAGTTTTCCGAGCACACCCCCAGACAGCCCAACTGCCCTAGCAAATTTTAACGACAGACTCTACGAAACACTTCATCGGGTGCTGCAAAGTACTTTTTCGTGGCCATGCACTATATCTACTTTTACCGAACTACCCAACGGGGATAAGGCCAAGCTGCTTGATGAAGCCTGGTCTGAACTTTTTTTGCTTGGCCTTATAGAAAGTGATATTTCACCCTCCATGTTTGCTGGATATCTGCAAAATGTCATTTGCCTATTCAGAAGCAAAGATGATTTGAAGAAACTTGAAAAATTCGAACATGTGCTTCGAAAACTGAAGTCATTAGGAATTGATCGCAATGAAATGGCATTTCTAAAGGCAATCGCCCTGTTCAAACCACGTAAGTAGCAAAAGATCACATTTCTCTCGACAATTAAATGCTTCGGAAAGTCTGAAAATTGAAAATTTCATCTAATCTGAAGCTTACTTGTATAGCATTCGTTTCTAGAACAAATAATGTTCTTCGTGATTATTTTAAAAGAATTCTAATGAAAGCTAGAAAGTTGTTGCAAAACATAACAAAACGATTTCTTTGAAGATAAAAATACTTCTTAAAAATGGGACCGCATAACCTAGAAGTAACCAAGATGTAGTTGAAAGTTCTTCTCGATAGAGTTCTGTGAATGTTTGATCACTCTTTTCGTTTTTGCATCATTTTACTAGGCGTAGTGCCGATCGATAGAAATATTGTTATCTAGAGTCAACATGTTTAAGTATATGTTGACTCATTTGCAGAAAATATTGAATTTTCTTCTATATCTCTATTCTCGTTTCCAGAGAAGCGCTTTGTTGGTGTTAATGCCCCACGTATTTTTTGAATTTGATGCTTTCAGTCACCAACAAGGATTTATTTTATACCTATGTTTTGATTGATGGTTTTTTCCTTCTCTGTTAGATTCGCAGTCTCTTGTGATGCGCCAGCACATAGAGAATTTGCAGGACCAGGCACAAGTGATGCTGAGCGACTACGCAAGACAATGTCATCCAGGCAATACAGCTAGATTCGGCAAACTGATATTATCTCTACAGCTCCTGCTCACTGTCGATCAAGGTCTGCTACGCAACTGCTTGCAACAACCACGCTCTTTTCTGCCATTCTCATTTCGCTACGACAAAGTAGGCAGCTAAACATGGTTTCATAATGAAGACGATTCAAAAAGGCACATTAAATGTGCAATTGTATAGCTAATTTTTCTACCCGTTTTGGGGTGATTTCCAGTCATGTATCAAATGTAGTGTAGATTTAAACCTATATGGAATACAAAATTTTACAAAATGAGTCGTGTCACTTGTTATTTGATATCAGTTGTTATATCGTAACTTTTATTTGAATGGTACTTTTTTAAAGCAGCGTTTTGTGTAAATATGTTGGATTCAAATTTACAAGAAAGCCTAAAAATTTAAATCCAGATTTCCTTCAAAAATGCCACTTTAACATAGAATCTGCACCAGGAGACATTTACAACTAAGATATCCGTGCTCAGGCAAAAATATAGCAGAGGATGAGACCCAATATTTTCTTTACCAAAACGTCGAATCCATGTACAAATGCTCAGTTAACTTTTGCAGTTTTCGTTACCTCTCGCAAATTATTTCCCTGCATGCATTTTTACATTATCCAAAGCCCTCAACCTTTACATTTGCATAACTTGCCCCAAATGGCACAAAGGCCCAAATGGCCCAATTTGAAACTCTTTTGAATGTCAGCTTCACCCTTTGTATTACTTAAATGTATTAACAGGCCTTGAAATGTATTTCCGCTGAGAAATGGCATTTGATTTATATGTCACTTATTCCAAAGAAATTCATTATACGAGCAGATCAGTCAAGAAAAATCTTAAAGTAATGCAATGATATCAAAGCATATCCAACTTAACCCTTACATTAAAATTAAGTCAATAAAATAGGTAGAATCTAAAATTCTCACTATAGTACCTAAAAACATTATACCTGCTAAGCCATATTATCTTGAAATCGTAGATACCAGAAAGACCAATCCGTGTGCTACAACCTCTCTCTCTCTCTCTCTCTCTCTCTCTCTCTCTCTCTCTCTCTCTCTCTCTCTCTCTCTCTCTCTCTCTCTCTCTCTCTCTGTGCGAATTTTAACTCAAATGCTTAAGTTACGTTGACTCAAATCTGTTTTACATCGAGCTAAATGCGAGTGCAATGGGACTTAGGAAGATCTTAAAGTTTTCATCACGTCTTTTATTTGTAAGATAGTTCCTTTTTGTATTGTTAAATATCATGTTTTGTATTGCCTTTTCTGTTTGCCATCGGGTTTTATACTTTGTTATGACCATTTTTTATCTTATTTTCATACAGATATTTTATCTTGAAATGCTTTGGACTTGATTTTTCTGTTATCGCTGGAAGCCTCACATTTCAAGTTTATGTTTACACTGTATAGAAGAGTTTCAATAGATGAATATCCAGGAGAAAACTCTGTTTGGGTTAAACACCGCTAGGATGATTTTCCTATTGAGCTACTGTATTTTGGCTAGAGATAGGGTTGTATTGTTTAAAAACCTGTGAAGGGGTTGAAAACATTCGTAGCTTGGTGGGCCTTGATTATTGGACAGATGACAACAATTGTACTTTGGCCCAAGCATATCAGTTCGTAAGATCCCAGCACTTTGTGGACTTTGGTCATAACCCTGCACTGCAAGAATGACATAGCACATTCACACTTTTTAGAATGAATATGAATGTACAAAAGCACATCGCTCTTCAACCTTGTGCTTGAAACTATATATGATATTAGATTAAATGTCGTTCCAGGATTTAACATCGGCAAATCTAATAGATTGTATTCCACCTGCATATCTAATAGATCGTAGGCCACATTGCAAGTTATTCATTTACATCATAACAAAATCACACTTGTTGGCCAGCCCTGTATCATATTGATGAACAAACAAAAACAAAAATCATACAGAAATTTAGAGATGATACAGAAAATAAGATAATTTGAGATTAAATAAATCATTAATATAGATAATGTTTGGTTCAGAGAAAATGTTTGCAGATGGGGTTGGAAAATTCTTGAATGCAATAGCTCTAGAAACTTTCTTTTGAAGAAAATTTATTAGTTTGGTATGAATATCAGGAGCAAGACCCCAGACAAATAGAGAAAAGAGACAAATAGAGAAAGAGACAAAAAGAAGAAACCACGGAAACTAGCATCGTACTCAGGGCTGTCGCTAGCTACCGTGCTGAAGAGGGTTGCCCTGGCCCAATGTACTGACAAAGTGGATGAGCCATCTTTAATTTACCAAGAAGTCTGGAAATGTCCCCGACGACGCAGCCTTTAATAGGTCGGAAAACACCTAGTTTTTGCAATAAATCTTTTCCCCTGATCCTCTTTGTCTGAAAACGTACCCTCAAAAAAGTGGGGGCTAGAGCAATCTTGAACCCCCAGGTTCCTTGCCTTTTTATATGCTTTCACACAATCAGAAAAGACATGTGTTTTCATTTTCATGGAACTAAGAAAGGTATCGTTTTATTGATAAAGGTAAACAAGTTGTGTAATAAGTGTGCAATTTCCTTTACTCCCTCTCAAAATACATTTTGCAAAAGAATAAAACGGTCTGATGAGCCTGATATCCATAATGAATACTCTTTTAAGGGTAGGAGGGGCAGGGGTGAAAAAATTATGATTAACTGCTAACTCATTTAGGCTAGAGGATGAGGATTCTAGAAGTTTCAATGCAACAATCATCGGTGAAAACAATTATCGGTAGGGTACTGAAAATCCATTCTAATCTTGAGTCAGGAATTTTCAGCATGTCACATTAATATTGCATCATAGAATGCCTGAAATAAACGTGCCAAGTAAGCAGCTTTGCCTCTTTTCAGTGCTGATTCACGATGAGTTGAGCACGTGATAGTAATTAGTAATGCGTGTTGAGTCACATCGAGGCAGAACATTCCAGTTCGAAGAATCGCATTGGCTACTCGTGACGTAATGTATTTTCAACAGTATTTGCGCAGCCGCTGACCACAATATTCAGACTTAAAAACAACTGATAAGTTGTGAAACTCAGACTCAAACTCAATGTTATTCTTGAGGACGTGAGAAAACGCAATGGAGAAATTTACTACAATTGAAGCATATCATGGAAAAGAACGTAAGACATTGCATATATCAAAGGACATGGAATACACCCATTTTCTTGCCGCGGTAAGAGCTTTGAACATTTGGTCTAGGGGCGCCATATTTGTTTGGTGAGGTCCTCTGGGTTTCTGTTAAAAATTATACGATATGCTTTCTTTGTTGGCGAGGAAGTAGAAAATCAGGAATACTTTGTTAGGCAATCTATTTAGCTCGTTGTTTTAACCACCTAAATGGTCATCAGAATGTTTTGACTAAAGTACAGCCTATTATTGTTATCTATCTGTGGATGGATGCGATGGATGAAGGCCGAAGACCAGCCCGGAAAGAGTGGAGGACGGAAAACGAAACCGGTTGCTTATGCAGAGGGAAGCTTTGAGCAACAACTCACGGGTAGCCATTAGTACAGCATCTTCAAAGTCAGCAAATCTTTCCGCCTTCTCTTTCGAATGTTTTTGTTGGTTTTAGTTGATATATGCTTGATCCTGTCTGGTAAATTCAGTTACTTCATTCTAAACAATTGATCTCTCGAGAACGCATGATAAAAGCATGCCAAAACAGCTCAAAATTTATAAGCAGCAGTGGAAAAATTCCAATCAAAGATCCATTTTTTCGTAATTTATTCTGTCAAAAATAAATGTATTTTTTCAGAGGAAGATTTTAGGACCTCGGCTGTTGTTTTGTGCATTGATTTTCCTTGTGCAGATTTTGTCTTAATTCGATTCTTAAATTTATTAACTTGAATAACTTAAATAAATGAAAATGGATCGAGCTTAATTGAACTAAATGGACATGATGATGTATTTTTGCGTTATTTCCTACTTTGGTGATATTTGCTGACTCATAATTACCATCAGCTTTTTTGTTGCATCATATTGCTGAATCAGATGCAGTATTTTAGGAAACATGCATATTGTTGCCTCATAAGAATTTGAATTATGATGTAACGCGCAAATATATAATCAAGGGACACGGGGCCTATTTTCCCCTGTGCATTGAAATGTTGTCGTTCTTTCTCTGTTTAGTTGCTTCATCGTATATTTGTTTTGTTCATTTGGTTCAGTAATGTAGCTACAATGACTTCAGATAATTACTCTGCATCTTTTAATACATTTCCCTTATTTTTGTGAAATAAAGAAAGATGTACTTAATAACCTTCAGCTCAAGATGATGTAAGGCTAGGCTAATAACAAATGAGTGCTGATCAGATTATTTAAATTGGAGATAAAATTCCTTGCCACATAACCTATGTTTGTTTGTCAGCTTTTCACACATACATATAAGTACTGTCTGACCAAACATTTAAGAAGTTTGCTGGTGTAAGGTCACCACTGTCCTGCTAAGCAGCTGACACTACAGAGTCTGTACAGGGCAAGAGATAAAGAAAGCACAAAAAGTCAGAATGCATCCCAATCTTAAAAGTACTAGACAAAGTACTCCAGAAGATAAAAACATTCCCTTGCTTTCTGCATTTTAAACTGACATTTCAGTTCAAGATTCATCAGTGTGAATTTCATTTGCAGATTTAAAGTTTGCAGATGAATAATTAGAGTTTGCATCATAGGATTTGAAATAAGAACAAATTTCTCCAATACTACATATCTTTCCCTACTTGTGGTCACTAAAACTTGACAGGTGTCCTGTATAAGTATGATCATTTCTGCCTAGATTTGACAGCCAATCACTTTGTTTCCATCAAAAGTAGCTGCTCAGAAAATTCAACCTATAAGAAATGATAACTATTCTGTACATGCCTATAGCATACATAAGCTTCATTTCTTCACATTTTGATTAAACTTGAATTGTTATGTAGATGCGAGGAATGTTTCCAAAGGGTTTTGATGTCATAAAGTATGAAGATGAAGACAAAGACTTGGTAAGTATTTGAGGTTTTCTATACAAACAGTTTTAACCTAGCTATATTTTTATGCTACAATCAAACACATATGTCAACTTTTGAACTGTCTGTATAGGCATTTAAAAAACATAAGGAGGTTAGTACTAGCCTGCTGATAATCCAGCATACAGCACACATTTTGATTGCATTGCGTATTGGTGAATTAGCATCTCTGCTTTTAAATTCAGTATATATATATAAATGGTTATCACTTATATAATTTTTAGGTCTATTGGTGCCAATGATGCTAATTCCAAATATAAATCCTCTTTATGAACATCAAAGATACTTTTATGCAAGTAGCTTGCTGTAGATGACTTTTCATATTTGCAACTATGGCATTTCAAATATGTTTGTTTTGTGTAAGAAAAATTGGTTATTGTTTTAGCAAAAAGGTGGAACCCTCTGCTATTTTTAATCATTCCTTTCTTTCTTTTTTGTTGTAGATAACAATGGGTAGCCAAGGTATGAAATATTTCAACACCATGTTTCCTTGTACATTAATTTGTACTTTTTATAGAAAAAAATCATTTCCAAATATTTTCTATGGTTTGTGATGCTATAAAATAAATTGTTTAATTTTACTGTTACCTGTTTTCAGGATCCATTTACATAGCTGTGTATTGTAAATACTGGACCAAAACAGATAAAGTTTTCTGATTGCAAATGCAAATTATATGATAAAAGCTAATTCAACAAATATTCAAAAAGTAAGACACACCTCTCTTAGGCACCTTAACAAAGGGAACTTTAAGTGCCATTTTAAAATATGCTAATCAGTTCCAAGTCCTTTATTTGTAGGGCTCAGCTAAGCCTTTAAATTCAGTGCCTCCTAATGAGAAACAAAGTTCAATATTAATGTAGATACTTTTAGATTTTATTAAATTATCCTGTTTTGTTTTAGAAGAATTTGCAGAAGCAATCAGAAAGGTATATATATTTATATATTTTTATCTTCCATTTGTATTTTATGTTTACATGTAATCCCCTTAGAAGCTCTGTGAAGCTTTAGTGCCTGCCTCGTAAGTTCAAAATCATCTTTATAATTTAGGTTTGAATTGAAGTTTTTTTCCTTAAGGTATGCAACAAAGTTTGTTATCTTTCAGAATAGGTTTCTTCTCCTGTCAGTTGTTACTGAAATTATGAATACCGTAAATCCTCGAATTGGTCCCCCCTCAAACCCCCCCCCCCTCGAATAAGCCCCTACCCTAGAACTACAAATTGTCAATAAGCCCCTCCCACTCGAATAAGCCATAAATTCTCGCTACCGTAAATTCTCGAATTGGACCCCCCATTTGATGATTTTTGCCATCTGAGGTTGCCTATGGTGTTTCATTGAATTACTACAACAAATTCATACTTTTGGTAGTAATTTATTAAATGCTTATAAAGAAATTTCTACTAAAATAAACAAGGTATTTTAGTAATGTCTTCTTAATGTCTACAATTATTTTATAAACCCCCCCTCGAATAAGCCCCCATCCAAGAGTATCAAAAGTAAATAGGCCACCAGGGGGCTAATTCAAGGATTAATGGTACATATCTCATTATATAACCTAGAAAAACCTTTCTTGATGTATTTTCTATTCATGAAGTAAAAGAAGGTTTGTGCTTGTTGACTCACTTGGTTCTTTTACATTCAGGTTGCACCAAAAATTGGAAATAAATTGAAGGTTTATCTGAAAAATGGTGAAGAAAGCTTAAAAGGTAGGAATGTTTTTATATGCTCAATGAAATTGGTCTTTTGCTCTAGTTTAGTGTTGTTTCAAATGTTTTAAGTGATTGATTCATGCTTTTATTTATATTTTCCATGTTGCTTGAAAGATCTTTTTTACAAATTTTCCTTACTTATAAGAAGTATAAATGTGTATTAAAGGATGTATATATAAATATATGTACATCCTTTTTAGTTTAATATCATTGTTGCCAACATTTTGCAAACCTCCAATAAACTCTAAGTCATCAATGCCAATGTGGATGGTTATAGGATTGGAGAGGTTATAGGATAGGTGAAGAATATGTTTTCATAATTTTCATATTGAAGCTTTAAATATCGGTCTGATGTATATGTTTTCTTCTTTAACACGCAAATATTCCAGTTAAAGCTTTGAGCAAGTCTTTAAATTTCAGAGTTTGAAGAAAGAAGTATAATGTTGCTTATTTATTTTTTCAATTTCTAAGATTTTCTTAGTTCCACCACTCTCTTTTTAATCTAAATACTTTTTTTCCTGGATGATGATCTTGAGTTTGCACATTGGTCTTGTTCCTTCATTCTAGTCAGACTTTCCTTTATCTAGTACCCCCTTTTACCCCTTTTTCATAAAGAAGAGAATTGTTTAACTCCCTCTTAAAGCTTGTTGTTATTGCTGCAAACCCGAACTTTATATCTTCTTTCAAGAAACTTCAGTGAATAATTATGCAAATACTAGTGCCAGGGCTGCATGGAATAATTAATCTTGGCCTTGATACAATGGGATCCATGCACCTTAGGAGCTTTCTCTGTTATCTTTAGAACATTGAATATTTGTCCTGGAGTAGATATCAAGACAGTAGCCCAAGACAAACCAATTAATTTTTGTCAGAAGGGCTTTAGTGTATTTAAAATTGTTGACCCTGGAACTCTTTTTGTTTTTTTTTGTTTTTGATAATTAGGACCAATTCTTAAAAGCAGCCTGGGGAAATCATGATTGCATATTATTCTCAATTTGTTTTCAAAGTGCTAATTTTTAAAGGGTTTAAACTTTTTGGCACATTGACCAACCAAGATAGTAAAGGAGGCACAGATAAGCAGATCATGAAGTTAGCTGCCTCTTGTTTATGTTTGTAGTGCTTATAAAACACTTAGATTTAAAGCTTTGTGTATAGTTGGGATAGTTCTCTAGTGGACCTTACATTTTTTCAAAGGTGGAGCCATCAAAACACAGGCAGCCACTGACCCCAACTTTCCAGCGTTATATACCATGGACATTAAAAGGCCACCATCAGATGATATTATGCCTTCAGGTTTTTCACTTGTGGCATGTCAAGAGAATGAAAGCAAGAATAATGAAAAACCAAATGGGAAAAATTCATTCATGTGTTACATGTCATTGGCGAATGAGCTTGCTGGAAATGGTAATGAGGAGAATGGAATAAATGTTCTTGCAAGTGGGGAGCATGTGTACTTGCCACCAGCTGATTCAGGCTTGACATTTTTTGAAAATGCTGTCAAAGTTGAGAAGCCAAACAGTTTTCAGAGCATTGAATCAGTTAAAGATGCAAACACAGTGAAGCAGGAAGCTCAATCTGACTGCAAAAAGACCAAAGCTAATAAAAGAAGGAAAAAGAAATCAAGAAGTCAATCAAGTAGCAGTAGCTGCAGTTCAACTGACAGTGATACTGATGGCAGCTCGTCGGGCACATCAACAGGTATGTGATTCACTTTTGCTTTTTTAAACCCTTGTTTGCAGATTCTTGCACTGTATCTTTAATATGTTGTAACAGGTTACTTTTTCATCAGTAAACTGGATAATTATTCTTTGGAATGAAAAGTTTTTAAAATATGATAAAAGCTTAGCAGCATTGCTTATGCAAACGGGTTTATTCTGTCTCCTACAACATAGCCTTCTTGATAGTGTGATGATGAGGATGTTAAATGCCTGAGTCTCTGATATGACAAGCAATGGAATGAGGAAAGTTGCCACCTCTGTAATTCCAGGTGTAGAGTTAGTGAGGTGTCATCAGAGGTGACAAGACAGGGATAATGCTTGATAAGCAGAGCCTGTCAGTTTCTGAAAAACTATCTTTTGAGATAGGAAATAGCAAATCCAAAGAGGAACTTGCCTAACAAGATACCACTGGTTAATGTTAGTAATCACATCACCAAATTATTTTTGTAAATGCAACTTTTGTAAGGGAGTGACCATTACTTTTTGATGTAACTATATTGTAATATGTAAATTTTTTTCCAGGCTCTTCCACCTCCTGTAGCAGCAGCAGTTCAAGTTCATCTTCAAGTTCCAGCTCTAGCTCTGATACAGAGAACGCTAGTGATGTTTGTAAAGATGTTGTTAAAGTTGAAAATGATAAGGAATGTGCTGGCAAGAAACTCAATGAGCGAAAGAAGAGGCAGAGAAAGCAACACGAAGAAAGAATGGTACATATTTTTTTGTTGCATTGCTGAAAAAGATGAAAAAGACTTCTTGACTGCAATTCTTTGTACTTTGAGTTTATCTTTTAGATTGTTTTATTTTACATGCAAAAAGAGGTAACTATTATCAACTTAAATACATTATCAATTTACAGTTTATTAATGTTCGATTAAAATTTGAAGAACTGAAGTGTTTTGCAGTTTGCTAGAAAATTGGCACACTACATTGCTCCAGATGTTTGTGACGAAGTTGCTCACTGCATGCACCATTTTAAGAAAGATGTGAAAAAAATCTTGGTCAAGAAAATAGTTGTGACTATTGAAGACAACCTTAAGAAACATGTTAACAGTATTATGCCAGTTTCTGAAGCAGCCGATGCACAGAACGAGGGTGCCCAAAGAGGTATGTGACTTATTTATGGAAGCAAAATTTAGTAATATGTGTCAAAATATACAAATTTATAGACATCAAACAACACTATTTAATACATTTTTCAACATTCGTCTTTATCAAAAAATTATAAAATCAAATCATCATTTCGTCTTCATGATAACTGAGCATGTTGAAGTCGTTTTTTAAAACTTGTATATAATTAAGTAACTTTGCTTTTTTTATTAAGACCTGCGTTCTAGCTACCGCCAATTTCTATTAAATTCCAAGAGGGCGCAGTATTGTATATATGGTATTTTTTCCTGTTTATATAAAAAGTTCCTCTCTCTTTGCTGTTTCAGAACGGGTGCTTCACGAAGGCATTACTTGTGATGGATGTGATCAGACGATTTTTGGACCAAGATATAAGTGTGGGTAGGTACTGAATTTACTTCGGGATTCCTGTAGCCTGAAATTGTAGCAAATTTTCATATAATATTCAGTAGCAGTTTACCATATTTGTGTCAATTTTGACACTGATTCAACCGTGATGGCATTTTTCCTTTTGGTATTTGTTATCACGGAGCTTCCGATAGAAAAATGCAAATTTTAAGGACGCTTTTTGTTTTTTAAATTTTTTCAGCCAAGACAGATAAATCCTTCAGCTCGGTTTAAGTGATTGGTTTTTTAAAGTCTATATTCTTATATGAGGTTCATTATAATACTTTCTTAATTGTTTTCATGTTAATATCGATTCATTTTTTCTTATTCATAGCAACTGCAGTGACTATGATTTGTGTGAGAGTTGCGAAGCCCTGGAAGGTCTCCATGATGAAACACATGCGTTTGTCAAGATGCATCGACCGAACGTAAATGCAGGACGGTCAAATGGAAAAGGCAAAATGAAGCCACTGTTGCGACACAATATCTATGTTAATGAGGGGTCTGTCAAGTGAGTCACTTTAGCCATTCCACTTTATAACATCCATCATTTGTATACAGGTACTTATTCAACAGAGCCTCAATATTGTTATTTATTCATCAGTATTTCATAGAACAGTCGCGTAAGATTGAGTCAATTCATATAATCATTTGCTTTTCTTAAAACCATTGTCAATAGTATTTTTTGCTTGTATTGTACAAAAGGAATAATTTTGATCTCTGTCGTTCTTCATTTTAGAGAGAGAAAAAGCAGCACAAATTCGGATATGAAAAGCGTGGATGAAAAGCTCAATACCAGTGCCAAGAAGTATGTACTTTCACATTATCTTCACATTCTTCAACAATGTGTATATTTTATTTTACAGGTTTTTTGATAACTTAAATATCCCTTCTTTTCATGCTGAATTTTTGAATTAAACAATAAAATCAATTTTTTGTAGGCTGCAGAATGCTAGTGCTAAACAGATTTCTATTACAAAGAGTGGCATGAAGGTGCGTTTTCCAAACATGACTTGAATTGTTCTGAAAAAGAATGTTTCTCCGATTTGAATATTGAACGTTTAAACTGCATGTCTAAAACATCATTGAAAGAGCAAAGAGCAGTTTTATTTTCCAACATATGAGTTTTCCACGCAATGAATCATTTATCCTTTCTTGTATTTCGATAGGCCGATGAGACGCCAGAGAATCTTGCCGTTACTAACAGGGAAACAAGAGATGCTACGGAAGTCGAACAGGCTATCAACAACAAAATTTCTATGAAGGAAACGGTTAATGAAGTCTTGGACCAGACAGAGCCACAAAAGGCGACTCCGTGTAAAGAAATACAAAGAGCTACAAGCGAAGACATAACAGATGACGAGGTTGTTGTGGTGAAAAGAGAGGAGTTTAGTGAAGCACTGCAAGCAATGAAGACACCAGGTAAATCTTGCGGATCTCCCGTGCTATTATTTTCCTTGCTTCCATTTTCACGTGATGATTTTTTCACATGCTTCTATTTTCAATTTTACACGAATATCGATTAACAAAAGTTTTGCTACAAAATTATAAAACTAAGAACTTTTAGATTTAACTTTCTTTAAAATCATTTATCTGATATCATTTTTATTACTATACAAACGTTTTTGGGCAGATTTGGTCGAGCTGGATGCAGAAAGTGTTTCAAGCTATGGTTCTGAAGATTTCGTGGTTTTGCCTAAGTGTTATGACTTTGATTCTGGATTGAAAGACGTCACACTAGAGCATCTTCCAAACCTTCCTCGATTGAATGGTTAGTTATAGCTTTGTCTATCATTAAAGATAAGCAAAGTATCAATTTTTGAAACAATTTTTGCTACTAATTATAGAATGTATAAATGCTTGTGGACTTTTGGCATCATTGGTACACTAATAAATGTTTAGGATGAAGAGCAGGCCAGATTTAATGCTATTTTCTGACAATCAACATCAATATCTATTCTGTAGAAATTGAAAACCTAACTAAGAACCTACTTAGCCTAAACTGACATTAAGTACCCCATAATACAAGAATCTGTTTTCCTAAGCTCTTAAAAAGTAGGTTCTTACACGCTGGTTTTTACTGTAACGCCAGAATCTTTGCCAGAACTACGTTTGTTGATTCCTACTGGAAATATTCCTTTCAGGTATTTCCTCTGAAGTAAATGAATCAGTTGAGCAGAGGATGACAGTTGATCTTTTAGATGGCACCTCTGGACACTCAAGGTACGGTGAATTGATTGCATATATTATATATAAGCAGGTAAATGCTTAATTACCACAGGTTTGAGAAAGGAAAGTCAAATCCGGGCCATCTTGGAGTCATTATTGCTAATTCTATTATCACTACTATCAACTACATTATCATATTGAAATCAAGCGGGCGTCATAAAGAATAATGTAGAATATTCTTTCTTCAGAATTTTGTAGTTCCTGTTATGTTTCAAACAATAGCTATTACTAATCTGTTAAAATGGTGACCCTTTTCCCTGGATCAAAATGAACAAGTGTCTTTCTAGCTCGTTCTCTTCCGCTTAGTTGTATGCTATTTTTTCAAGAGGTCCTAACTCTGACTTTTTATTTGAAATTCGTCTTCTCTCCCTTTCTTCCGAAGCTTATTCTCTTTAATTCTTTAACTCTTTAAAGACGGGTTTGTGATTTTTTTCCAATGATGGTCATAATAAAAATAGTTATTTTGTTTTCAAAGCTTTTTGTGACAAATCATCAATGAAACGTTGTTTTCTTTGCTCCATAGTCCGCAACCTGTTGATTCTGTTCCTGATGTTACGAGCGCTGACAAGAATGCGATCTCAGGCGAAGTCATTGAGAAACAGCCTGACGTTAATTTGAATTTGGCATCACAGGTTCTCATCACAAAGCAACCTGAGCTAGCAACACCGCCTGCTAAAGACGCTGTAAGCCCAGTGCTTCCAGCCAGCCAAGGCGATGAGGATTTTGGTGCCTCCATAATCCCAGATCCAGTAAAGAAACAACCATCTTTGCAGGAAACTCGCCAGCCTGAACCACTTGTCATCTTTGGTCGTGGTCCTACAGATCAGATCGAGGAGCCCGCAAAATTCTTTATGCGGACAAGGGCAATCGAAAGTGATGCGGCAGAAAATAAAGTTGAAGTCTCCCCAAACTCATTCAAACACAATACTGATGCTTCGAAAGACGAGAGGAATGCTGGAGACAAAATGCAGAACACATTTAACAGACCATCGGATAAGTTCCTTCAACAACAAAAAGATTACAACAACGCAACAGTTAAAAGGCCACCTTCATGGTCTCCGGAATCCTTGCCTGGGTCTAATAAGGCAGAAGGTGATGTTTTCCTTTCTGGAGATTTGCTTACAGAAGCCATTTCTGGTCTCGTTGATGCAACGACCACTGCAGCGACTGCAGTCTATGAAGGTCTAAGCACAGCAATAAATTCTGGGAAGAATAAAACGTACTCTGATAATCAGAACAATATCTTGACTCCTCCTCCAGAGGAACTCATCGACGGTGTCCCAAGGCCTTTGCAGGTACGTTCTACTCAGTTTCAGTTTCATGTAATTTTAAAATTCCACTACATACAATCCAAAAAAGAGAAAATTTAAATACAATTAAATATGGCATGCTTAACTGATTAATACAAAGATAAATGCTACACAAGAAACCTAAAAGAAACAATATACAGTATTACATCAAGAAGACAAAGAAATTGTATGTAGGGGAATTTCTTACGGAGGAGCTCTCTCAGTAGCTAGGCTAATCGAGGAGAGAGCACCCCCTATTTATTTATAACTGATTAGCTAATTCTTTCAAAATTTCTTTGAACAATTTATGCATCTAATTTTGGACTGAATGGGGACTTTTCATGAACAGTATTTGTTTTCAAAGAAAAAAGTCTTAAGTTTGCAACGAAAACTACTGGCTTCTAGTAATGTAATTCTTTTGGAATATATAATGTTGGATCCAGGAGGTATATTTATAATTATTGTAAATATTATTATAATTATATGTATATATTTATATATATATATTATTGCTATTTCTACTCTTGGTAAAAGAGCTATTTGTTTGCTTGTTAGTTATCATTAGTTTGTGCAACCTTTGATCATGTTGGCAGTGATTTTTAAAAGGACTTTGTTTTCAACGTTCCTGATATCTAAATTCTCCTAATTAGTTAAAATCTATTTTGCGTCTATTATCAATTTCCTTCATTCAGCTTCTAAGGTTGGTTTTAAGCAGGAAACTGCCAAATAGGAGAAGTTAGTTCTCGATTTGTTACTGTAAGTAAGTTAGTCGATAAAGAAATACTCTCGGTGTCTGCAAGATCTAGGTCTCTTATTTGAACGATTTATTTTTTATAGACCCCGGAAAGCCCCGAACAGGGCTTCAGACACCAGCCTACTGCACCTGAAGAGACACAAGGCACCAACATACACCCTCAACCCCGAGACTGGCATTTTCAGCAAATGACATGCTTTATGATATGGGGTTCTACGACCGACCACGAAATGCAAGGCTGCTCAGAAAGCACGACGGCAATGTGAATCTTTGTGTGGCTGAACTTCTTGCAGATAACAACTGGCACTATAATCGACATTGAATCAGCTGAGCGCGAGAGACTACCCTTTATTTCTATTGAACAACTTGATGCATTGTGTGGGTATCATTGTAAATTTAGAGAGGTATTGGCTAGAGAAATTTTCATTTTAGTTATCGCTGTTTGATTCTTTAAAAATTTCATACCGCATTGAGTTTTAAATAATCAGAGGTTGTTTTGTAGATTTACCAAAAATGATTATGACACTTCTTTACTCCTGAATAATATCCTCAGCACGTTGTGAGTTAATATTGTTTTCAAATGATGACCAGAAACAATTTCAAGTTGAACAATCAAACTATTTTAGAATTTACAACCACCATACAGTACGCTTGGCTATACTCTTTTTTAAAAGGTATACCTTAATTCTTACATTGATGCAGTGGAAGGGATCTCCCTGGCCTCATCAAAGATTTTGTGATTTGTTACAAAACGTTAGCAGTAAATTTTCTCAGAAATTTAAAAAGACTTGAATTTGTATAACCATGTATCACTCAATTGAGTTTATGAAATATTTTATTATTTTTCGATAGTAGAGTAGCTGATCATTCCTCTTGAATTCTGCAGAACTTCGTTCCAAGACTTTTAGCAGCAGAGTTTGAAGATTCTCATTACTCTCATTACCTCAATGCCAGGATGTGGGGTACTTTGTTATTCAATAGTATGTCAAGCGAAGATAGGCCTATTTTTTAATAGTTGTAATGAAAGTTTCAAAACGTGTCGGAGAGAAGAAACAACCGAAGAGTCGGGTCGATTCAAGTTAGAAGCCCAGGTGCAAAGTATTGCCATTCAACTGATATTTTACCTAAGCCAAATTTTTGCAAAAAGAGAGTTAGACAGTTCCAAAGTTAGTTTCCAACAATTACATGAACTCGAGGATGAATCAGCAACTTTTGAATGAAAAGTATATGAAAGCCATGAAAAGAAAAAATTTCCCCTTCCCCCTTCCCGCGTCTATCCAGGATTTTTGCAAGAGAATCCGAGGCTAGAGCATCTGTTGTTAAAAATCAGGAGCGAATGCACGCATGTTGAGAAGAATGAAGTTTGTATTATTTTAGTTAGATATAACAAGGACGAGGTCCTAATCTCTAAATTTGTATTAGTAAGATTGCATGCTGAGATAAAACGTTGCAAAAAATTTCAGTTAGATGTGTAAACCAAATTGCTTCCTTGCGTGCCATTCTGCTTGCATTGTTCGCAGCCTTCGATGCCGATGAGTATTGAATCAGACTCGCTTTCACTTTTAAAAATTTTCGCGATCAGGTTTTACAAAATAATTCCCCAATCAGTCTTGTATTTTGGTTGTATAGTTTTTCTATTGATATTCTTCGTACATAAACATTTTGCGAGATCTTTACCCTTGTCATGTTACGGCATTTTGCGAGATCTTTCTCAGGTTAGAAGGACCTTGCAAGAACCCGCCTTGGCGGGTTCTTCAAGAAAGGCTAGTCTTCCTTCCATACCAAGACAAACAAATATCAATATCTATAAATAAGAAGATTGTTTAAAGTCTTAATTCATTGCTAAGTCTATTTCCTCAAAGATGATATGTTCTACTGTATCTGGTAAATTGTATCTTAGTTTGAAGACGATGTTAATGAGCAATTATGATTGACATGTCTCTAGTAAGCCAAGTGCCCAGATATCTGGACCTAATGTCATTCACTGCAAGGCCCCGAGTAGCATTGCTTCCTCGTTTATAATGAGCAATAATAAATATAATGGCTCTGTCTGTGCCAAGTGCCCAGATATCGAGAGCATATGTAATTAAGTACGATTTCCTGTGGAGTGTTGCCTTGTCCTTTGCTAAGTGCCATACATTTTGGGAGACTTTTAGAGAAGGTGGTGTATTTCTCCGAATCCGATGGTTTCTTCCTTTTTTAAGTGTAGGGAATATTTGCAATATTTCTTTGTATTATTCTCGATTAAGAAAATAACTTTGTATGTTTATAAAGGCTCTTTGATTGTGGGTTCAATGGTTGACCTTGAAGATATCGTTAGTGATTTTGCGAAGCAATGATGATTGATTGAAACATTAAGATATATGCTCTCGTTACTTAGAATTTGCTAATAATTTACAATCTCGGTTAGTTGGCTATTTTTTTCGTCCCTGCGTAGCAATGGTTCGCGTCCCCATAATCCTTGTGACGTTAAGATCTCGGGACAAATTTAAGGAAAAAGATATCAAAAACTTGTTAGAATAATGTAATCTTGAAGGTGATCGAAATATTTAGTGACACTTTGGAATATGGAAATAAACAGTTTATGGATGAAAAACCTGTTATCACGACTCATTATGGCCAATAATTTCTACTGTGTGCTAGAAATGCTTAGTTTCTTCGTACAAAGGTTCCAACTCTCCCGATTTGGGTGGGGGTCTCCCGATTTGAGCGTTATTTTCCTCTTCTCCCAATTTCAAACCGAACCTCTCGCTTTAAGAAATTTTTTTATCAATCTGTTATAAAATTTTATTTTGCAATACACAAGTGAAATAAGCGAATTCTAAAGTATAAATCTGTATGTATCATTTATAACAGAGAACATTGTTCAACTCGAGCTTTTAAGCTGATGAATTTCAGCGAATTCGTCTCTTTAAACTTTATGGTCAATTTTCTCACATATCTGATAGAAAGTGGGTTCGGATAACAGCTTTCCAAAAAATACTGAATATTTGTAAGGGATAATGCATTACTTCATTTTTCGAGTTTATCACCTATCCAGAGTTCGAATTCTTTCCAACATGCAAGAGAATTAATCTTGGTGGATGGGCCAAAGTCCTATTTCAAGGCCCCTGTCCAATATTTTAAACAATATCGAAATGTTTTCCTTTTCAAGATTTTATATTCATTTTGTGACTTTCATTCCCTTTATAAAATAATCTTGGAATTCAGTCAAGCTATTTTCTTTAATTCGTCTAACAAGGGCCCAGGTCATAGGAAATAGAGAGGGGTTGGGTTGCGATCGCAACCTAGCATCCCTGCCAGTCCACCACTGCTCAGTAGTATGCTGCATTTCATTTTGATTTATTTCGAAAAGATTAATACATTCAGTAAATTCGAATAACTTTTTACATGTGTCCTGCTTAAGCTTAGAAACATATACAAATTAACTTGTTGAAGGTCTATTATATAAGAAGATACTAAATGAAATTGAAAGGACTCAGAAGTTAAACGCATGTGCTGAATAGATTATTGACCTCTTTAATTCTTCAGACTTAACTGGTTCCAAACAGCAGCTCCTCTATGCATAAGAAGTTCCGCTGCCCATTTGAGGTTTTACCATGGGTTTTGCTCAGTGCAATTCTGAGGTCAGAGGTGGGTCAGAGACTCAGAGGTGGGTCAGAGACTCAGAGGTGGGTCAGAGACTCAGAGGTGGAGCTTGTGCCTCGTGTTGACTTCGATTCAGACGAATGAAATGGCGGCAAATGTGAAAGTTCTAGTGCTGATGCAACTGACGATGATGTGCGGAATGCAATGCCTATATGTAGAGATTTCTTGTTAATGGTAAGAATTGATGCAAATTCTACGTTAATCCTTATGAGTATCTTCCTTTCCCGATTTGACTTCATGGATTTAACAGTTTGTGCTGAGTGGTTGGGACTGGTCCACCGAGGCCTACCTTCCGACCACTGTTCGCGTTAACTTTTGTTTTGCTGTAGATATCGTTATGCGGTCAAATTTTGTCAGATTCTTAATCAAATTATATATCATTTCATGTATGAAATTGTATATTTTCAACCGAACCGACATGTTAGAATTATAACAACAATAATTTTTGTCAAGGTATCCCTCGCTCGACCCGTGGACCATATTTTGACCTCTAAAGTTCCTTTTCATTTTTTTCAGGGGGGGGGGATAGGTTGTTTTTCTACAGATTCACTTCTAAAAACAAATTATGTAAGTTGATTTCGAGTTTCTGAGGCATTTTTTACACATTAACTGTAGACATTAAACTAGAAATAAATAGTTTGGTCCTTTCTAATTGTTTTTCATAGTTATAGTTTAAAATTGAATTTTTCAGTAGCCTAGGAAGTTTTGACCAATAGGAGACCATTATATTGTTATAGATTAATTAATCTATCTTCTAATGTGTGCAAAAAAAATTCCTAATGAGTTCGTTTTGATGTTTGGAAGCATAAACTTTTTTTTTGAAAAAAGGCTTGTAAAAATAACGAAGGTTAAATCATAAAATTAACATTATGTAGATATATACATAAACGGTAGTCTGTGCCCTTGAGAAAAACTGCAAAAGTGGCCACAAATCAAAAATTTATTTTGCAAACAAAGAACGCATTTATCATAAACAGTTGAAGTAAGTAGATACTTGTTTAAGCTTTAAGATGAAAATTTTTGAGAAATTTAGACATTTTGATCATAACTTTAAAGGTGATGAAAGCTCGAAATTTTTAAATCACAGAAGGTAGGAATGTTGTTGGGGAAAATTACATTTGCCCAGTCTGCAAAACATTGCAGTTCTCAATAAGGTCTTGTGAATTCAAGAAAAAATAAAAGTGTAAAAAATATTGCTGACACAGTATGCAATATGTTTGCACCTTTTTCAGTTAAATGTGTGCAGCAGACTTCCAATGGACAAAATACAGCCTAAGAATGGCTCTCATGATTGGACTCTATGTGTACAGCATTTATTTCTGCTCAAACTCGTTGGATCATTTCACAATATTTTAACTCGCATATTTTGTTTGTAGGCCTAAATTTGATTGTTTTGACCTCTGCACATTGCACTAAGATCTTAATTTTTTGATAACTTGCAGAAGCAAAAACTGTTGGCATTTATAGGTATGTTACAATGGGGGTACACATGTGACAGTGTAACCCACCATAAAATTCACTCAGTCAGTTGAATTCGACAGAGCAAGCTTTATGGAGTGGATTCTGACCCTATAATAATTAATTTTTGTTAACTGCAAAGCAATTAGCAAAAGCAGGGTCACATAACAAGGATTTTTATAACTTGAAGTTTAGTTTTTTTGGAAGTTTAAATATCCCAGAGAGCAATCTCAAATGTTTTGACAGGCACATCATGAAAATCTTGCTTGTCATATACAATACCCAAAATTGTAAGCAGGTCCGGAATATTGTCAATAATGCTTGTGCATTTGTCAGATTTTGTAGATTTTAAAAAATCTGTTTTTCTTATTCAAATTGGAATCTAATTAGTAGTAGCACCAACTCTCTTGACTTGCCTTTGCTTAGAACAAGGCTTCACATAAATGTTTGCAAATATGTTTTGTTAAGACCAAATATACTTTGCCTAATAAAATTTCATTTGTGTTAAAGTCTCTCTGTTGTGTATAAGAAACAATTTGAGCTATTCATTCAACCAACACCAAGACTAATTTAAGCAAATTAGTGTTCTGCCTAGGGTCTGCAAACTGTTTGAAGGAATGATGGACAAACAGATAGTTCCTTATATGACACTTTTTTGTCCTCACTTCTCTCTGGTTTTCCACAAGGATACAGTGGTCAATATGCTCTTGTAAGGATCACAAGAGGGGAATTTTCAGTTTGGTTTCAGTTTTGTGCTATTGTAACCTCATACAGCAGAGATATGTTAAAGATGTCATTAAAATTATGAGGCAAAGTACCCCAGTCTTGAAAAAAGTACAAATTGGCAGTTAGAAGGACCATTGTGGAAATAAGGTCAGCTTGACCTTTCAATGCTGTCCCTGCCACCTTATTTAGGGGTGTTTATCTTTTGCTTTAAATTAAATAATTTTATTGTACTATTTTTAACTTTTATAACTTTGAAATCTTCTAGTCTGATGAGTTATACATTTTCAGTTAGCACCCATATCCTATCTTTTTTACCATATCAAGCTGCCCCTTGATGCAATCTTTCATGCTATTGCACCTGTGTGTAGCAGAGATATCGTTAAGGCCATATGAGGCCTGCAACCTTATACCTCAGTTTGGGGGCAGTTGTCAACTTGTGTCTACATCTTTTCTTTTTCAGCTGATCAAGCTACGAATTTTGCCAATGTCAGTTTTTCAATTTGAAGAGAAAGTGACAGCAGCATACTTAAAGGCCTGGAACCTAATACCCCAGTCTAAAAATAGCACAATGAGGTAATTGTCAACTTGGCTCTTGTTAATTTGTTCAAATTTTTTTTCTGCATATCCTTACCCACAGATTTTTTGGCAA